ACTCAAGAGAGTAAAATGAAAATGACCCAAACATTCCACCTTGTTCACTCTTAATCTTCAACTCCAACCAGATCTCTCAGCCCAAAATCTTCCTCTATTTACATACCCTTTCTCCTCAAAATTTGCTACCTAAATTTTAAGAGACCCCTCTCTCTTTTAAAACTATTTATCCAAGTGCTTGTTTATTTCTTTTGATTTAATTTGATTTTGAGTTTGATTTTTTTGATTTTTTTGATTTTTTTTTTTTTTGAGATCAAAATGCAAGATAATGGTAGGATGAACTAACAAGCACACTTGATTATGAGCAGAAAAACATGATAGAGAGGTGACTCTTCCCTTCAAATTGCATTGGCTTACTTTCACCACTTTCTCTCAACTTGACAACTCTAACCAACTACCCCAACTTAATCCCCAATTCATTTTCATTTACTCTCAAGAGTTTGGTCAGGGTGATGAGTTGGTATTTGGGAAAGGTTTTAGGTGATTTGAAGGTTAAGGCTCAAACAGGTCTTAAAGGATGGATTCAGTTATGGCTGGCTATTTGGCTCTAGGCTTACAAAGATTTCAGTTATTTACAAGGGAATGCCTTGATCCTGTCCAAAACTTTCTCACAAGAACAATCATTCAAGATTCAACCAATGCAAACACATATATTATGATGATGGCTCTCAAAAGTGGAAATATATATGATATATGCACTGTTTGGTCTCTCTCACTCACCAGCTTGGCTAAATGTTCAATTACTGATCTTTCATGCCATGCTAATCAAATAACTCACAATTTCATGATCAAACAAAGTTGGATGAGTGCAACCTCAAAACAAGCCGCAAAAAAAACCATTTTTAAGTGAATTAAAAGATGTATTTTCCCTTTTTGTTGATCTAAAAGTCATCTCATTTCCTACCTCTCAACAAACCATTTTTTTATTGTTAATTCACAAAAGTATATAAACCACCAGATAGTTCAAACAATTAACAAAACAAAAACTAAAACAACTGTAATTTAAAATGACATAAAATTAAAGTGGAACTTCTCTTCCTCAAAACAAGGGTGACAGCGACCCTCCATCCTCTCCTTTTCATCAGCTCATGCTCTTGCTCCCCACCATGAAGTTGTTCACCTTGATCTCCTTGATCTCCACCCCCTCCAGAAAATATAGGACTGTCCCCAGGCCACTTCAGATGGTGGTGGTGGGGTTGGTGCAGCTAGGATTTTATGAGTGGCTTTAGAGCTTCCGCTTGAACCGCCACCTCTTGAACAAACTATCTGAAAATTTTACAACCAAGTCTTGCAACCAAGTTAGTCTACAAGTTGATCATACAAACAAAACACAATTCTTCATGGGGCATAAGGAATGATCAATAAACATTCTAACATGTGAAACACTAAAGTTATTTCAAAGCCACCAATGAACAAGCAAATATTTCCTACTAGCTCCAATGATCAATGATTTCACACTTTGGATAAAGAACACATATTCACTTAGGCATTTGATCAAGCAATTGATGGACATGATAAGGAGAAATAACATGCATGTGAATTCTTGCCATGTAAGGCTCAAATTTCTTCACAAAATGGAACATTTCAGTGACCACCTTTTTCAAAGCTTTCATTGTGTTCAAATCAAATACTTTTCTCATTCAGGCATTTCTTCGAACACACAACAGGCAGAAATGTGAATGTTTATGCATGTTCACGTTGAAAACTCGAACCCCCAAATTCATGCAATTCCACATTTGTGCACAATGGATGATGAAGAACAAAGGTTTTATGTAGATTATGAAGAAAGGAGATGAAATGTGAGGAGATGAGGAGGTTTCGTGAGGGGAGGAAAAGAGAAATGAAGAGGTGGAGGTGAGAGAAAGGAGAAAATGAAGAGGTGGAGTGAGCGGCTCAGTTTTAAAACTGACCCAGAACTATCTAAAGCTTCTCATTTAAATTAGAAAAATGGCTCCAGAGAATTGGCGCCTAGGCGCTGGAACTGGCGCTTGAGCGCTGGAAATTTCATATGCAATTGAGCTAAGACAGCAACATGGTGCCATGGCTGTGAGAGTTAGAGCTTGAGCGTTGGGGATTTAACATGCAATTGTGCCAAGACCGAAACTTGGCGCTAAGGCCGTGAGTGGGGCGCTGCAGCTGTGGAATTTTTTTGACATGAGATTCCCTAGCAGCAATTTGGCGCTAAGGCCATGGATTTAGCGCTTGAGCGCTGGAAAATTGAATCTAAGGAAGGTTCCAGGGAGTTAGCGCTATGGCGCTGGGATTTGGTGCTTCAGCTGTGGGAACATGAAAGTTCTAGGAACCTTGGCAGAGAAGTGGCACTTTAGCTGTGGATTGTGGCGCTGCAGCTGTGAGATTTTTTCTCACATAAAGAACTGGTCCAGAAAATTGACGCCATGGCCGTGACCCTGGCGCTTCAGCTCTAGAAACTAATACACATAAATGGCCAGGCAGGAACTTGGCACTAAGGCCGTGGAGTTGGCGCTGAAGCGCCAATACTTGGAATTATCTCTAAGTTGAAAATTAATGCCTCAGATTCCCAATGATTTTCCATGAATTGAGGGAATAGAAAAATTCCTTGATGCACATGAGCAAGCTATTAAAATCATGTTCACATAACATACATTCAATTTGAACTCTTTCTTGAACTTCCTAATTAAACCACTACCTCACAATTCTCAAAACTGCTTTAGCCAATGTGAGTCACCAAGATATTTCAACAGAATGTGCAGCCAACATGATCAAGGAACTCAAAATTTTACAAAATATTATAATCATTGAAACACATCAAAACAAGCTTTTAATTCCTAAGAGATATGACTTAAAGCACCCACTTGAAACATGAACTTGAAACTTTAAGCCTTCGTATTATTACACACTATTAAAACTGCACACACACAAATGTTTTAGAACAAAATATATGCATTGTAGCAACATATCAACCATAAAGTAAACATGAGAAGCAATTATAAGACATGAACATTAAATCAAACACACCAAATGACAAACATGTCTTACTCCATACTATGCATCACCTAGTTGCAACCAAAGCCACTACTCATAATAAACACCAAACAACAACACCCCTTGCAATCAAATATGAAATTCAAAACTCAAAATACAAATTCTACTACCAAAACAAAGCATCAAAATAATCACAAACCCAAAACTCAGAATGCTACACAACCACTCTAAAACATCAAATTAACTTCATATATCCTAACACGCAAAACACAAACATATCCTCAATAAGATCAGCAATCTTAACATATCCCAAAACATGCCAATCATCAAGCACATCCATTTTGAAATCAAACAACCCTATGCACAAAAACTCTTAACTACTCACTATTGAAACTAAAACTTAGAATCTAAAACAGAAATTAAAACAAGAACATGCTAATTTAATGTCTTTAGCTTGACAGTCCCTATTTGATCATGGCTCCTTCCAATGAGTGATGGTAGTGAGTCTTTCAACTTCACCACCCAGATAATGCTTGAGCCTTTGACCATTGACTGACCAAGTCCTTCCAGAGGCAGGATCTTCAAGTTCAATGGCTCCATAGGATCTGACAGATTTAATTGACAAAGGACCTGACCATTTAGATTTGAGCTTCCCAGGGAAAAGTTTCAACCTGGAATTGAATAGCAGTACTTGTTGGCCCGGTTGGAAGTTCCTGTTCAAAATCTTCTTGTCATGGTATATCTTGGCTTTGTGCTTGTAAGACTTAGAGGACTCATAAGCTTTCAATCTCCTTTCTTCCCATTCATGCAACTGAAGCTTTCTTTTCTCCCCTGCTGCCTTCAAATCATAATTTAAGGCCTTCAAAGCCCAAAATGCTTTATGTTCCAATTCCACTGGCAGATGACAAGCTTTACCAATGACCTTTTCCAATTCTTCGTTAGAGATAGGCAAAGCCTTCTCTAGTGGCGATGAGCTCTTGAAATTATTTTGAGTTTCCATGTGCACATCATCTAATACATCAATTCTAAAGCAATCTTTGTTGCCTTTTGGAAACTTCGTTGTTTCAAATACATTGAAACTCACTTCCTCATCTTGGACCCTCACCTTCAGCTTTCCTTCATCCATGTCAATGATAACTCGAGTTGTTTTTATAAAGGGTCTGCCCAATATCAAAGGAACTTCTACATCCTCTTCTATATCCATGACTACGAAATCAACTGGAAACATGAACTTACCAACCTTCATTATCATATCTTCCACTATACCATATGGAAGCTTGATGGATCTGTCTGCCAACTACAAGGTCATTCTTGTAGGTCTCACTTCCACTTCTCCTATCTTCTTCAGCATGGATAAAGGCATCAAGTTAATACTGGCTCCAAGGTCTAAGAGTGCCTTACCCACTGATAGATTACCAATTGATACAGGGAGAGTGAAACTGCCTGGATCTCTGGATTTTTGAGGCAAAGATTTTTTGTATGATGGCACTACACCCAGCCTCAAGCTCCACAGTTTCTTCTTCAAAAATTCTTCTCTTCTTAGTCAAGAGATCCTTCATGAACCGAGCATAAGTAGGCATTTGTTCCATGGCTTCAGTGAAGGGAATATTTATCTGGAGCTTCTTGATGATGTCCAGAAACCTTGCAAATTGTCTGTCCTTCTCTTTCTTTGATGGGGCATGAGGGTAAGGTAAGTCTTTAATAGGAACAGTGGAAATGAATTCCTTGCCCTTCTTTTCATTTTTATTTTTCTCCTTCTTTACTCCATTCTTCTCTTTTATTTTCTCACTATCTACACCCTCATTTTTATTGCTTTCTTCCTCATTCTTCTCAATCTCTTCCTCAACCGCCTTCAGCTTACTATTCTCTTCCTTATTATCAGCACCCTCATTGTCACCACTCACCCCAATATCACTACCAACTACCTTCCCACTTCTTGTTGTTATGGCTTGGCAATACTCCTTGGGGTTGGTCTTGGTGTTGGCTAAAAATGGGCCTTTAGACATGTCAGCTAATTGTTTAGCTAGCTGACCCACCTACACCTCCAAGTTCTTGATGGAAGCTTCAGTGTTCTTCTGGTTGTTCATAGATACCTGCATGAATTGGTTCAGAGTCTCCTCCAATTTGCTGGTTCTTTCATGCATAGAAGGATAAACAGGTTGTTGTTGCTGTGATTGTTGTGGTGGCCTAGTGGATGGTCCAGCTTCATTCCTCCATCCATATCCTTGGTTGTTGTTATTTCTCCAACCTTGATTTCCCTGCATATAATTGTTAGTATTATAATTATGGGAATTAAAATTACCTCCTTTCTGTTGGTTGCCCACATAGTTGACTTCTTCTTCATTTGAAGTTTCAGAACAATGACCATTGGGATGATCTCCCCCACAAAAATCACACTTTAAAGAAGAATGTGATTGAGTTGAAGAAGAAGTAATAGCATGAAGTTGTTGTGGAATCTTGGCCATCTGCTTAGTCAATGCTTCAATCTGTTGAGATAGCAGCTTGTTCTGTGCAAGGATTGCATCATTAGTACTAAGATCAAGGACTCCTCTTTTATGAGATTGATGTCTCCCATGCTCTGCTTGGTGATCAGAGGATGCCAGAGATTCTATGATTTGAGTAGCTTCTTCTGGACTCACAGTCATCATGGTGCCACCAGCTGCTGCATCCAATAACATCTTCACCTCAAGCTTGATTCCATTAACAAAGAAATTTAGTTGAGCTATATCCTCAAACCCATGGTTAGGACATTTTCTGAGCAATGACTTAAACCTCTCCCAGGCTTCACAAAATGGTTCATCTGCACCTTGCCTGAAAGTAGTGATTTCTGACTTGGCCTTAATATACTTGGATGAAGGATAGAATCTGTTCACAAACTTGTTTTCCACATCACCCCAGCTTGTCAAACTTTGATTTGGGTGAGATTGTAACCAAACTTTAGCTTTTCCTGTTAAAGAGAATGGAAACAACCTCAAATATACAGCTTCTTCATCACCCTCAGGAATTCCCATTGTTCCACATAACTCATAGAAATTTGAAAGATGTGAATATGGGTCCTCATGATCAAGGCCAGCAAATTGTTGTGAGCTAACCAAAGTAAGGAAGGCAGGCTTCATCACCATTGCTCTAGAAGTATTTGGAGTTGCAATACTAGAGAAATGCCTAGGACCATGTTGTTGTGAATAATCACCTAGGGTCCTTCTTGGCTGCCTACCTGGTCCACCTGTTCCCTCTTCATCCATTTCTGATTCAAGGAATGGTTGATTTGATGAAGATGAAGAACTCAGGAGATCTTGCTGTTGTTTTTGGATTCTCTCTAACTGTCTCAGCCTTCTTGTTCTATTGTTGTTCCTCCTTGCCGTTCTTTCAATTTCAGGGTCAAAATGCAATTCTTCGGCTGGAGTTTTCTTTCGCATACACTTTTAAGAAGTCTGCACAGGAAGGTGAGTCCAGAAAACACAACAAGACAAATATCTATATATTATAAATATTCACACAATGAATTATTTACACAACTACAAAACCACAAGATTAAGAATTACTAAATAGCACCAAATCCCCGACAATGGCGCCAGAAACTTGATGAAGATTTAAGCAAACTTACCACTTGGCAAGTGAACCAAGTTTCAAAGTAGTATTTAAAGATCGTCCTCAGGGATTTGCGTATTTAGTAATTCCCGCTCTAATGATTTAAAAGAGAATGATTTCAAAATTTCAATTGAATGAAGATAGATTCGAACAACACAATAAGGTAAATTTAGTAAAGACGATGATTAGGAGACAAGGATTGGTTCAGAAGCACTTGCTAACTCATAAATCTTCTTAAAATAAATGCAATTCTAAATTCATTATTTCCACGCTCATTAAATAATCCAACAAGATTCCTCAAGGTTGAATCCTAAAGTCATTAAACTCAAAACATGATTCCTCAATGTTTTGAGTCTAATACTTTGCATTAAGAACAATAACTTGAACAATGTGACTAACCAAATCAAGTCTATTCCTAGAACAAGAAATGATTAGGTGCAAGATTCAGTTCGGGTTTTCGAAAATGTTTTCCAACTGGATTCAAAAGCCAAAAATCATACAACGGTTGATCAAGCCGATATAAGCGTTAAGCGAAGAATCATTACACAAATAATGAGATCAAAATGCATATATTTAAGAAGAAGAGGAGTTAGTAGTTACATCCAACCAATCCTTAAGAGGTTTAGCCACCCATGACCATTACAGAATCAAAGAGTGAAAAGAAGAAATTACAAAGCAAAGGATGAAGAAATGGAGTTGATCTTCGTTCCCAAAGGATCCAGCTTCCAAGTCTCTCTTCTTCCTTCCTTCTTCCTTCTTCACAAGTTTTTCCCCTATTTTTCTCTGTTAAATTCGTGCTCTGTATATCCCCCTTTGGTTATCCTCCTTTTTCCCTTTTATATCAGCTCTAAAACTGGGCAAAAAGTGATATTTTTAACTCCACTGCTGCAGCTGTAGAACCACAGCTATGGCTATGGAGAATCCTTCAAGGTGAAGCAACTTCTGGTGCTGTAGCTGTAGCTCTGCAGCCATGGCTGTGGAAACTCCTTCATGATTAAGCAACTCCCTGAGCTGTAGCTGTGAAACCACAACTATGGCTGTGAGTCTCTGTGGCTTCCCTTGATCTTCCAAGCCTCAACGCTCAAGCTTTGGACCCTGTAGCTGTAGCTTCAAGTCTCTGGAACCAAAAATGAGCATTCCAGATTTTTACAGCTATAACTGCAGAACCACAGCTATAGCTGCAAGTCTCTAGACCTCTATATCCTTCCCAGACTTCCACAGCTCGAGCTCCAGATCCACAGCTATGGCTGTGGATCTCTGCTTAGCCAAAAATCCTGCAAAAAATGAGAAAATTCCTTAAGATTGCTACTACTCCTCTACTCTTATAGTATGACTTAATTCTATAAATTAAAGGGGTGAAATAACATATATATTATCTACAATTGTAGAAAAAGATTGCCAAAAGTTGAGTGCGAAACATACAAAAAAAAGACACTCAACACTTATGCGCATTCTCAATAGAATGACATACTACCAGAGTTTGGTTAAGATAGTTAAGTTGCGCAAGATACATCCTATACTATTAAAGGCACGACTAGGACTTCCAAACTAAGTTATACCTAAAAGATTGGTTCCCAAGCTTTTACACAATGGACCTTCCCTGGTGGTGTATTCCGTATTATACCTTTTAAAAAACATTTTTATGCATATAATGCATGTCAAACAGACTCTATGTATTACATTCACATGGTTCCATAATCTCACATTTAACATACTTCTTATATCACATTACTCCTCATTTGTATTTTTATATTCATGTAGACATCAATTCACCTCCACATCCACATTATAATATAGGAATTACATCATTGAATTTAACAAAATATCAAAAGGGAATTCGTAGGCAGGATGGCGCTAAGTGACACATGTCCCATGCCTAGCGCGATACCTCTAAAGGACCACATTAGTCTTTGTTTGAATTGTGTCTGGTGTGAAAGACCCCGAGAGCAAACTTTGTTCTCAGCCTCAATGATGGCCAACGCGCCCTATGTACCCAACGACATATAAGAAAATTGCACATTTGGATAATTGCAAATTCTCAAGCATGCACCTCAAATTCAATATCAACATTTTAATTAATTAAAACACTCCCCAATTATACAATAAGCATTCTAAACAACATAAGACACACATATAAGTACATATCCAATCAATCTCTTCATACAACCACTAATGCAATCCCTTAGGATTTTCTAAGGAACCCATAAGGATCTCAAATCATACAATTACAACCTCAAAACATGCAATAGATTATCCATTCAAACAATTTATGTAATTAATTACATACAAGAAGAACAAAAAGTGAAACAGACACAATTGGAGAAAATCCTTCATACATAATGAGCATACAACATACGTAGGATTGGCGGCTAAACCCGCTACTTGGCAAACAAGCACACACCCAGAGTAAGGTTTCTCACTCCCCCTTATCTAGATAAGCTCTAGATGATGGGTGTACGACTCTAGGGTGATTTCCGTCCTACTCCTGATTTATGAGCTTTGAAGTGCGTACGTGAAAATAGAGGTGTAAAAAGGGTTTGATTAGAAAACTCCTATTTTAAAAATCCTAACCTTCCTTTCATCATCTAGTTAAACATATATACTAACAACGATTATCCCAAAAATCCCTTCCTTTATTAATAAAATATTATACTATCCTTAAATAAAATATCATATATTATATTCAAAAATATATTAAATAATTAAACAAATTTTAGACAGTCCTTATTAACAAAATAAAAATAAAAAAATTATTAGTAAAATACTTATATTATATTTTATAAAAAAATGGGGATTTATAATAACTTCATAAGAAGGATTTCTTTAAGGGAGTTTAGACCTGCAAACTAGATCTGTGCAAGTATTGTGTGCTTGGAAACAATCTAGAATTTGTTTCACAGCTGCAAAACACACAACCAAAAGGATTTTAGATCATGTGCATATAGATGTCAATTTTTCTCACAAGGTTTGGGTATATTTTCGTAAGTAGAAATCCAAGGTATTTGAAAAGTGCAAGTTGTGGAAGGTTGAGTTGGAGAACCAAACAGGTAGAAAAATTAAGTGTTTTGAGATTTGACAATGGTACGGAGTACATAGATTCATGACTTTAGAAATTCTGTGAGGAATAATGTATTAGAGACATTTTTCAATGTGTAAAACACCACAAAAAATGGTGTTACAAAGAGGACCAATAGGTCCCTCTCTGAAAAAAGGCTAAATGTCTAAGGCTAAATGATGGGTTTTGTTTTGATAAGACACCTAACACTAGAGAATTAGTTAGGACTAGTTAGGATTTGATCATGCTATTTAATTCGAGTAATTTAAGTTTTATTTCTTTTGTAATTTGTTATTTTTGCTAAGTTTAATTTATGTTAAAATGTGATTATTTCTACCTGTATAGATTTTGAATTTATTTATTATTTTTGAGGTTATTCAGTTACTTAATATATTATTTTTATTACTTATATTTTTTTTTAAAGTCCATATTGTTTATTAAAATTTTATAAAATCCTTTGGAATCTTATAATATAAATTAAAATATATATCAAACAATCTTGATTATAAAAATATATTTTTTTAAATTCGTTACATTCTTTTAAAGTCTTTTAAATTCACAATTATTTGTACTTAATTATCTTGATAGCATAAAAGTTAAATCACCTTATTACCTTTGTTTTAGGCAACATGTCCTAGTCAAAGAAAAGTTTGTACAAGGACCAAAATTATAACTTACTCAATTTTCAAAAATTAAAGCATATTAAGCCAAACCATTATTTTACATTTGGGAATTTACATGGGATATATAAAGATTTACTAGGTATATAAAAAGGTCACAATTATATTAAGTTAACTCATTATTTTACATAACATTAGATGACACAATCATACAAATGAGGAGCACTTCATTAGTATTTTGATGAATAACTAACTGAATGACACAAATCAACAAAATCTAAAAGTTTGGAGGCATAAGTCGTGAGAAAATAACGAAGAATTTGAATTTATATAATAAGAACAATAAGAGATTGATTTCACTAATTTTCTCCATGTAAATCCTTTTAAATTTTCATTCAATATTAGAAATTATACTTTTAGGTGAAAAATTCTAGCTTGTTTAAGGAAAATGTCAATTCTTTGGTAATTTTTGTTAAACAATCTGTATTAAGTTTAGGGAGCAAAATTTGACTGATAAGGCTTATCCTATTCCTAGTAATAAGTATTATCGGTGTTTTTACCTAGATCGTGATTTCAAAAGAGTTTCTCAACCTCAATTAAAATTATAAAATCATCCATTGGTTGATTAGGCCATAACAAACATTAAGTATAAAGTAAGATAATTGACTTAATAAAGACATTGTATTGAATGAAAATAAGGAAAATTACATGAGTATAATAGTTACCTCAATCTCCAATAATAGAGACTAATTAGCCGCTCATGGCTAAGGATTATACAAAAAAAAAAAGGAATCTTTGAGTGATCTGTGATTATAAAAAATGCTTGCACAAGAGTTCTCTCTCTAATCTCTCAAAATTTGCATGTTTGTGAAAACTAAGATACAAAGACCTCCTAAATTTTCTAATTTGATATATTTTAAATGGGCTTCTATTTGTGTATGCTCGCTCAGAGTGTCTATGTGACTCGCTTAAAAAAGCA